AAATCCTTAATCATTAATGGTGAGGAATGCTCTGATGAAAAATCCATTGCAAATGAAATCACAAACTTCTATCAAAATGTATACACCTCCTCTTACTCTGCTTCTAAAGCCAAAAGCTTCCTGGAACAAATTAAAGCACACATTCCACAAATTGATAATAAATTCAAGGATGATTGTGAAAAAAATATTGACTTGGCTGAACTTGACAAAGCTATTATGTGCTTAAAACTTGATCGCTCCCCAGGACCTGATGGGTTAACTGGTAACTTCTATAGACACTTTTGGGAATCTCTCAGGGACCTCCTCTTTCAAGTTTTTAATGAAACCATAAATAATTTGATGTTACCAACAAGCATGAAACAAGGCATCATCACTCTGATCCCAAAACCAGACAAAAATACAAAGATGTTAGAAAATCAACGCCCCATCTCACTCTTAAATAATGATTACAAATTACTCACATACATATACACAAATAGGCTTAAAAAGAAATTACATACTATTATTAGTACAATACAATACAATACACAATACAATTTATTCTTGTATAGCCCTAGGTCACAACAGAAGTCATCTCAGAGGACTTAACAAAACCATTGAAATCACCAACACAGGTCAGAGAATCAATAGTTAAAACACATGAAGAATACAGTATAAAGCACACACAGAAGAAAATGTCCATACATGTTGTAGAATGCTAAAGTGTCCTGATCATCACCAATCCTTTCTGTTGGACACTAACTGTCCAACAAGACCCTCCTGCATCGACAAGGAAAAACTCTTAAAAAACCCAGTGGGAAAAAGTGAGAAACCTTGGAGGAGAACTAGGGAAACCCACAGGGAGGGAGACCCATATGAGAAAGGGATCCGCTCCTCCGGACGGACAGGCTAATGATCTAGGACCTAAGCTAGCTACAGAACGTGGACCAGTGGACGCTGAACGTGGACAGGTCCGGTGCAGGACTGAAGCACTCCCAGGCGGGTCGGGCGGGGCAGTCCGCAGGTGTAGATGGAAGAGGCCAGGCTCAGAGATCCCGTCATCGTACCATGAAACAGACAATGGGACAACGGGTGAATAGCAATGAACAAACTACAGTCAGAATCCTAAAAATGCTAAACAGATAAAGTAGGAAGGAGGAGAGGATAGTGCTCAAGTTACCATACTTCTCCCAGCAAACTGACTCCCTATGCAGCTTGACTAACACTCTGAGGAGTTTAACCTTCTCCGAGTCTTACCTTCCTAGCCATATGCTAAACTAAAGAGGACTGTTTTAAACCTAGCCTTGAATAAAGAATAACATACAGCATAATATATAACATAATATACAACATAACACAATACATTATTGAATAATATATAACATAATATATAACATAATACAGCATATATATATAATATATACACTACATATTATATATTACCTAATTATATGCTAAATTAAAGTAAAGTGCTTTAAGCCTGGCCTTGAATGTGGAGACCGTATCTGCTTCCTTAACATAAATGGGAAGCTGATTCCACAGTAAAGGAGCTTGGTAGCTAAATGCTCTGCCACCAACAGTGACCTTTGAGACCTTAGGGACCACCAGACGTCTGGCGTTTTGTGAGCGCAACGCTCGACTTGGTTGATACGACACTAACGTGTCTTGGAGATAAGAAGGAGCCAAGCCATTTATGGCTTTATATGTTAAGAGTAGGATTTTAAACTTTATTCTGTACTCCACAGGGAGCCAGTGGAGTGATTTTAACACCGGAGTTATGTGCTCCCTCCTTTTGGTACCTGTTAAGATCCTAGCTGCTGTATTCTGAACGAGCTGGAAGCTCTTCAAAGAGGCTTTAGGGCACGCTGCCAGTAGAGCGTTACAGTAGTCGAGCCTTGAGGTGACAAACGCGTGAATGAGTTTTTCCGCGTCACTTTTAGGAAGGAAATTCCTAATTTTAGCGATGTTCCGTAAGTGGAAGTACGCCGTTTTAGTTGCTTGGCTTATATAAGCCTTGAAGGAGAGTTCTTGGTCAAAAATGACTCCAAGATTCCTCACAGTGTTACTGGGTATTATACTGACATTATCGAGAGTAACCATCTGGTTAGTGAGGGAGTCACGCAGGCGCTTCGGACCGAGTAGGATCACTTCTGTCTTCTCCGGGTTGAGAAGTAGGAAGTTAAGAGTCATCCACATTTTAAGGTCCTTTATGCAGGCACTGAGCTTTTCTAGCTGATCTGTCTGATTAGGCTTCATCGACAGATAAAGCTGTGTGTCATCTGCATAGCAGTGGAAATTAATTCCATGCTTTTTAATAATGTTTCCCAGTGGCAGCATGTAGAGAGTAAAAAGAATCGGTCCGAGTACCGAACCCTGCGGCACACCGAATTCCACTCCAGAATAAGGCGACGAGTCCTGATTCACATTGACGAAGTGATATCGATCTGATAAATAGGATTTAAACCAGCCAAGGGCTGTTCCTCTAAGACCTATATCACTTTCTAGCCTCTGCAGTAGAATGCTGTGGTCTATTGTGTCAAATGCAGCACTAAGGTCCAGTAGGACCAGCACTGACACTTGTCCATTATCGGCAGCTAGTAGTAAGTCATTTGTGACTTTGACTAGTGCCGTTTCAGTGCTATGATGAGCTCTGAATCCTGATTGAAAGACTTCAAACATATCATTTTCCTGCAGGTGGCAGCGGAGCTGCTCAGCTATAAGTTTTTCCAGGATTTTAGATATAAAAGTGAGGTTCGAGATCGGTCTGTAGTTTGTAAGTATTTCTGGGTCCAGGTTTGTTTTCTTCAGAAGGGGTTTGATTACCGCGGTTTTAAAAGCTTGTGGGACATAGCCACATTGTATGGATGCGTTTATTATATTTACGATAGGCTCAATTATCAAAGGAAGTATGTCTTTGAAGAGCCATGTCGGGACTGCGTCTAACATGCAAGTTGAGGCTTTTGAGGATGTGACCACAGAGATCACCTCTGCTTGGCTCACAGCCATGAATTTATTAAGGCCCACTGAAGAGTCTAAGTGGGAAGTCACGTATGCCGCTTCAACCTGTCCACCACTAACAGCAGGA